TAATCTCATTTTTCAAAATTTCCCAAGCTTCTTGAGTTGTTTTCCACTTGAAGGTTCTCATCCATGAAATCCTTCCCAAGCTCTCTGTACGTTTATTGAAATTAGCTCTCTTAAAGTCCAATACTCTAGTTTGACTTCGTTCTACTACTTGTGTTTGCATAATGTTAAATTCCAATATTGCATGATCGCTTGCCCCCAAGGTTCCTGTAGCTTCAACACCTTCTATCATTTCCTCTCTGTTAGTGAAAATTAAGTCTAATATGGCCGATCTCCTTGTTCCCTTCTCTATCTTTTCGGAAACAAAGTTGTCTGCTAGGTTTGTTAGGAACCTGTTGGATCTTCCACTTGGTGCAGAGGTTGTTGATATCAGCGTCGTTAAAATCTCCCACTACTATTGTGGTGTGCTTCCTACATACCTTAGTTAGCTGACTAGCAAAAAGTTCATCTACTTCCTCTGCTTAGTTGGGTGGCCTGTGGCATAGACCTGTGGCAATGTCATTTCTCCCTCCAACCTTTAATATTGACCCAAATGCATTCAAGACATAATTTTCAGCCAGATATTGGAATGTCAAAATGCTCTTAATTCCCCCAAATTGCAACTACAAGTGACATATATATTTACATAAAACCTTTTTAAAAAAATTAACAAAATATGAGTTAAGACATATATCTAAACAGTGCAATTATTGTCCTATGTATTCATACCAAATTTACCCCAAAGGCAGACAACCACAAATTTAATACATATCCTGTAAAGGAAGGAAAAAAGGGAGGGAACAATATTTTAATAAATATTATTAATTAAAATGTATTGCCTACAAAAATAAAGCACATAATTCATTAACTTGATTGATTCTACCTTTATATCTACCAACTATTCCCTCTTACTCATAGAGATGAACACAATTACACATAGACACATTCCTGTTCCTCCTTTCAACAGGAACAGCAAAGGAGGAGGAGGAGGGGAGGAGGAAAATGTGATGAATAGGAAGTAAATTCAGTAGATGAAACAACTGAACAAGGAAGGAAATGAAAGAAAATTCTATTCAGACACTATAAATGTAAAATTCTTTTATTGTGTTTCATTCTTGATCACTAATTGGATACAGTCAGATAGCTTTTTTGGCAGCAATACTTTGTTTTTCAACTTCTGAATCTAGTTTATAGTATGATATTTTTGATGGTTCTCCCACCTAATTACTAATTGGATTTGAGCCTATGTAAGTTTTAGGCAAACTAAGATTAAGTAAATACCACTACCTACTTAATGTAGACACTACAAAAATGATTTTTTTTAAAAAAAATAATGCAGATTCAAGTCCAACCAAGCAAAAAAGGACTAATACCAAGGGGAGAAAAGACTAAAATCAAGTGTGGTAATGAAAGAATTAGGGGGAAAATATTGTGGCACCCACTTCTCTTAGTGCCCTCTAAGGATATGCGTATTTTGCTCAATGGTTAATCTAGGGCTATCTGCTGGAAATTAAGGCTGTGACTTGTAGTTTCCCTTTAGATATGAAAGCCAGATGGGTAGCTTCAGATCAGATGCTCTACTTCAGCCCAAGCAACCTGACAGGGTTGTTGTGGAGAAAACAGGAGATGGGAGCATTAATAGTAATATTATAGTTTTTATTGTCATTGTATGAAATAAATACAACAAAATTGGTTTTAGCCTCACTGGTGCAAAATTATAGCCGTAAAGAAAAAAGAAAAAGAAAGAAAAAGAAAAAAACCTAGTCATATATTTTTCTGTGTGTGGAACGATTGCGGTTGTGTTTAAAAGTCTGACAGCCCAAAGATAGAACTATTTTTAAACCTATTTGTTTGACAGGCTAAGCTTTGATGTCTTCTGCCCGATGGTAGAAGTGCAAAGAGACACTGACCAGGGTGTGAATCATCTCTGAGTATCTTCCTTACTCTGCTAAAGCAGTGAGACCTGCCAGTGTTATCCAGTGATATTCGAGGGCAACCAATGGTTACTTGTGCCGAATTGATCACTCTCTGTAGTGCCTTTCTGTCCACAGCAGTTAAACCAGCGTATCATATTATAATGCAATATGTGGGAACACTTTCTATTGTGGACCGATAAGTATTTAAGTATTTAGGCTGCCTTGAGTTGATAAAAATAAAGGTGGGCTATAAATCTAATAACTAATTATATTAAAGTTTAGGGAATTCAAGGATTTACCTAATCTCTACTGAGAAAAAAATGACGTTAAATTTAATTAAACTCCATTTAATAATTAATGTAATACTCTCATCAAAATGAATACACAATACAAATGTGTCCTTTATGGCATTAATCCTTCTGATCACTCTTCCAACCTAAGGATGTTTATCCAAGACTGGCCTGATAATAAATTCAAATTTTGATGTATTC